ATCTAAGAATACTTGATGGTGCTCATGTGAAGCCTGTACTTGGATCAGGAAGCAGTCCTCAGAACAGAGCAAAGAAACACTGTATGGTTCAAAATCAGGAAAGGAGTGCATCAGGAATGCATCCTGTCTCCATGCTTTTTCAATCTATATGCAGAACAGATCATTTGAGAGGAGGAATATGGGGTCAGGATTGGAGGAAGACTCATCAACAACCTGCGTTGTGCAGACGATACAACCTTGCTTCCTGAAATTGAGGAGGACCCTGAAATGTTTGCTGCAGAAGGTAAAAAACCGCAGTCTTCAATTTGTTTGAAGCTCAACATCAAGAAAACAGATTCTCACCACTGGGCCAGCTGGCAGCACCATGATAGGTGGAGAAGAGATTGAGGTTAACAACTGCTTCTTGCTTGAATCCACAGTCAACACTCTGCACCAGCTGTCAGGAAATCAAAAGAGGAATGATATTAGAAAATCTATTGTCAGCGACCTTTCCAAAGTGCTTAACAGCAACGATGTCAGTCTAGAGGCCAAAGTATGACTGATCCAGGCCATGGTCTTTGCAGTTACTTGCTATTATATCAGAGAGCTGAACAGTGGCTAAGGATGACAGAAAAAGAATCGATGCCTTTGAGTTGTGATGCTGGAGGAGAGTATTTAACATCATGGGCAAACAGATCTATCCTGGAAAGGGTGAAACCAATTGGCTCCTTGGAGGTAAGGATTTTGAAACTCCATCTCACATATTTTGGGTATGTGGCCAGGAGGAACCAGTCCTTGGAGAAGGACATCAAGCTGGGAAGGGATGAGATGGATTCACACAATAACTAGGGTAACGCGGGTTAGTATGCCAGAGACAGTGAGATTGGCTAAAGATAGAGCAGGGTTCAGAACTACTGGTACATAGGGTTGCTATGAGTCTCAGTTGACTTGATGGTACATAATAACAACAATCTTCATGGGTGCAAACAGCCACGTCCTTCTCATGTGGAACAGCTGGTGGTTTCAAACCACCTTTTGGTTGGCAGCTGAATACTTTACTCATAAGCCACCATTTCTTCTGCTTGGCATGGGGGAGGGGAACATAAGAGCTCTGCTCTGCCCGTAGAGCTCCTATAAACTCATCCCTCATGTCTGGCCATGCAAAGGGGCAGTAATGGGGAAGGAATTGAGGGAAACTGATGGAAAGACAGCTTGGGGTTGGTTTAAGATTTGTTTGGAGTTTTTTAATTTCTTTGTTTAAAAGAAATTTTTCCCTTTCTACAAAGATGGCCCTCCCAAAACTGAAACCAAAGTAAAGGCATTAAAGGCCAAGAAGGCAGGACTGAAGGGCATCCACAGCCAAAAAAAAAAAAAAAACCTAAAAAAACCCCCAAAAAACAAGATCTGCACGTCACCCATTTCTGGCGGCCTAAGATGCTGAGACTCCAAAGGCAGCCCAGATACCCCTGGAAGAGCTCCCCCAGGAGAAACAAGCTTGACCACTATGCCATTATCAAATTTCCCTGACCACAGAGTCAGCCACAAAGAAGATAGAAGAAAACAACACACTTGTGTTCATTGTGGATGTCAAGGCTAACAAGCACCAAACCAAACAAGCTGTAAAGAAACTCTATGACACTGACGTGGCCCAGGTCAACACTTTGATTAGGCCTGATGGAGAGAGGAAGGCATATGCTCGACTTGCTCCTGACTATGATGCTTTGGATGTTACCAACAAAACTGGAATCATCTAAACTGAGTCCAGCTGGCTAATTCTAAATAAAAATTTTTCTCACACCCACACACACACACACACAAAAGAAATTGTTGTTGTTGTTGTTGTTGAGATTTCTACATGTATAGTTCAGTGACAATGATTGCATTCTTCCAGTTGTGCAGCCATTCTCGCCCTCCGAAGGAAAGAAACTTTGATCAAGCAAATATTTGCTAATTTATGAATTGCATATGTCTTTGTCCTCTTAGTCATTCAAACATCACTAGCCTAGCTTCCAAAGCCAAACAAACTCAGACATGATTATATTTGATCACCTTTGATATTTCATGATTTTCTGTCCTGCTTTTCTTCTTTTCCAAGTTTTATTTATTCTGTTATTGCTGAGAATGCACCCAGAAGAACATACAACCAACTCAGTGGTTTCAGCATGCACCATTTAGTGATACTGATTACATTATTTGAGTTGTATGAACATTTCCCCTCTTTTTCCCTCATTAACATATGTTCACTGCCCTGTAAGGTACCTATCTAATCTTTCAAGTTGCTGTTATTAATTTTATCCCATATAAATAATTCTTAAAAGAGCCCAACACTCGAAGAAGACTTTTGGGTTTTCAACTAGTTAAACCCTGCAATCTCAAAGGCATGGAGTTCTAAACTACCGGATGTTCCACAGGAGAAGGATGGGAAGAATCTCCTCCTATACAATTTACTGCCTCTACAAATCCACACTGGAGGGGTAGCTCTGGGTTGGTTCCTACTTGATAGCACACAACAACAACAACAACGATCTAAACTAGTACTTGATTTTAAGATTATTTTAGGGTGGAGAATATTTTTTTATGTTTTAAAAATAATTTCAGGGCAATATTTTTAAGAGGTTACCTGTTTCGTGGTTCCAGAAAGTCTGCAGTCTAATAGAATTTGAAATTCTGTTCTGCAATTTCCTCCTTTTGATCAAGATTCTTCTATGGATTCTATGATGACAATGTTAAATGGTATGAGCAGGAGCATCTAGTTCTTCTGGTCTCGTGGCAAAGGAGGTATTGCTCATGGAAGCAATTACTTACACATTCTACATCCTCTGATTACTGATGGAGAGGCAGTTAAAAGATGAGATGTGTGGGTACTGATGATGGAGGACTTGATGAGGCAGGAGGCAGAAGAGTCCTTGAGCAGGGACAAGGAGTTATCAAAGCACATCATGAAAGGGAGCTCTGGTGGCCTAGTGGTAAGAAGCTGCACTGCAATCCCACAGAACATGTGGTACTCATGGAGGGATGTGGCAGAGAGCACAGGGAAAGAGCAGAATCCCTGGTGGAGGACAGGGATTTGGTCCAGTGCCTGTACAGAGGAGCTGGCTTTGGATGAGAGCAGGAATAGCTCTTCCTTTGTGGTTGGAAGGCAAGAAGAGAAAACAGCAGAAATGCAGGCAGGATGATGACTTAGGGTGAGGAAATCAGTGTGATGCCATCAAAGGCTTCTAGGTCCTGGTGTGTGATGGGGAGAAGCCAACAGCAGGACATGGGGAGGTGCAGTGTTGGTGCTGGTGGTTTGAGGAAGAAAACGACTTACCTTTGAGTCAGTTCTGGCTTATGGTGATTCCCATTATGATCAGAGCAGACCTGTCCTTCCTAGTTTTCACTGGGCTGATTGCCAGGCCTTTCTTCCATGGCGGTGCTGAGTGGGCTTGATCTTCTCACCTTTCAATTAGCAGTGAGGCTTGTTAGACATCTGCACCACCCAATGGCTTGAGCAGGAAAGGTGGAGTGAAATAGCCCACGTTGGGAGTTGATTCCAGGCAGTGTCAGCCACTTAAACATGAGGTCAGTGGCTTTTGCCAGCAACTTTCAGCACCTTGGGTTCAGGCTCAGAGGGGATAGATGGGTGGAGAATTAAGGGTTTCTTCAAGAGACAGCATGTAAGATGGACCAGCGAGTCTTAGCTAAATATGGAGGGACGTGAGGCGTGAGGAGCTACAAGGAAGCAGTAACATCAGTGGCTCAGAGGAGTGTGGGTCTAGAATTAGAGAAATGGAGTAAATGGGCAGGACATGAAGGCAAGAACAGTATGCCCATATTCACTGCGGCACCTTCCACAGCAGCAAAGCTGTGAAAACAGTTGAAATGTTCATCAACAGATGGATAGATAAACAAAATGTGGTCTTAACACACAGTGGAATAATACACAGCCCTGAAGAGAAACGCAGTGCTGATGTTACAGTGTAGATTAACCTTGAAAACATTATGCTGAACAAAATATGTCAGTTGCAATGGGACAAATACTGTACAATCTCACTTATATGAAATGATAAAGAATTGAGACCGAAGATTATTAACAGCTACTAGAGGTAGGAGGCCAAATGGTAAGGAGTTGCAGTGCCTGTCCACCGGGATGTGCTTCCAATCCACCAGCTGCTCTATGAGAGAGAGATGGGAAATCTCCTATCGTGTGATTTACTGCCTCTGAAAACCTGCTGGAGGGTCAGCTATGAATCGGGTCTGACTCGACAGCAAAGAGCAACAGAAGCAGGAATGAGGGAGAATGGGGAGGGCTTGGGCATGGAGTTTATGTTAATAATGGTGGAATATTTGGAAAAGAATATTGATAATAGTGGCATAGCATGAAAAAGCAATCAGTGTCATTGAACTGAAACTGTAGAATTTGCAATATGGATATTTGGGCGTGTACATTTTTACCACAATGTGTGTGTAAAAGGAGACTTAGTGGGATAGTGGGTTATGTGCTGGTCTACTAACTGTGAGGTCAGTGGTTCAAATCCACCAACAGCTCAGAAGAAGAAAGAGGAGGCAGTCTCCTTCTGTAAACATTTGTAGGACTGGGTTTATACGTGTGGGGGAACCCTAATGGTGTCATTAATTAAGCAGTGGTTCGAATCTATCAGTCACTCTTTGGGAGAAAAGTGTATCAATCGGCTCCAGGTAAGATTTGGAAACTGTATGAGACAATTCTACCCTGTCCAGTCTGGTTTCTAAAAGTCAGAATTTCCTGGGCAGCAGTGGACTGAGTATTTGTATATTGTATGAGTTTGTGGAAAAGATGGAGTAAGAAATTCCTATAGAGAGCACCAGATGGGAGAAGTGTGGCTGTACCCCTTACCAGCTATGGCCTTGAGCCTTTGTTATCTTAATGAAATGTTTTAATTCTATAAAATGACAATGGCCCGTAATAAAGGAGTGCCCATTATGCAGGGCTGATCCACCGGCTTTGTTGACAGAACAGGGCTGAGTTTTCCTAAATCTCTCCCTTTTATCTTTCCCCTCAGATCTGTTCACAAGTGTCCATAAGGACTGTCCTATGCCCCCGGGCACAGACCCCCTGAACCCAGACCTGTCCTCCAGCCGTCCACCCACCAGTGCTCCAGACCATGTCACTGGCAAGGTAATGGTCACTCTTCACTTCATCTGTGCCCTAGTTCTGACCTGTCGCCTACGGCTCCCCATAGGGGGCAGAGATCATTCCCATTTTCTTCCTTCTATTAAGCTCCACTACCTCCTGTGGGTTCAGAGTCCTTAAGGCACTAGCAGGGAGTTGGAGGGTGGGGATGAGCCGAGTAAAAACTTGAAGCCTGGTCTGATCCATCTCCTGCACTCACCACCTCTCCTGGCAGGTCCACCATTGCCTTGCCCCTTCCTCCTTTCTCTGTCTGGGACATGAGGGCATGGCCCACAAGTGGGCTGACCCCAGGCTAGTAGGGCAGGGCTCCAGGACTCTGCCACCTTCCCACCTTACCTGATCCCCTTTCTCTTCTTGTTTTAGGACAAACAGATGGATTTCTGTTGGGATCCTTGGCAGGTGAGTGAATCTGCCTGTGCCTAGCCCAGCCAACCACAGCTGACACATGGCCCCTTGCTGGGTGCCCAGCCTGGGCACACAATCCTCTGAGGGGAGCTGATGAAGGGCAGCGGGGTGGGAATGGTGGTGTTGGTAAGATCTCCCTGGCCATTCTGCCCAGGAACCTGCGGTGGGCTGGGCAATGGCAGTGGTATTGGTGGAGGGGTGCCAGCTGACAGGTCTGCCCCACTCTCTCATTCCTCTTGCCCTGTCTCCAGCGGTGCTTCCAGACCACCAATGGCTACCTGTCAGACTCCAGATCCTGCTCCAGCAACTACAACGTAGCAGCCCTGGCCACCTCGTCCCTTGTGGGTAGGTGCCAAGTGCCCTTTTGCCCTTGGAATTGACTGGTCACTGGAGGCAGTAATGGTTCAGTGGTAGAATTCACACCTCCTGTGCCAGAGACCCAGGTTTGAGTCCTAGTCGGTGCACCTAGAATGCGGTCACCAGCCACTGTCAGTGGAGGCTTGCATGCAGATGGGATGCTAAACAGGTTTTAGGAGAGCTTCCAGACAAAGAAAGATTATGAAGAAAGGCCTGGCAATCTATTTCTAAAAATTAGCCTGTGAAAATGTTATGGATCACAAACAGTCCCATCAGGCACCCGGCACAGGGATCCTGCAGGACCTTGTTGGGCTGGAGGATGCCATGAACTGGAGCAACAACATGTCAGACAGCCCAGCTGCAGGAAAGGCAAAGCTGATGTGCAGCTGCAGGCTGCAGCCAAGCTGAGCTCCATGTTTCTGTGACTCTGACTCCCAGCTGGGCCTGGGGAAAGTGGTGCTTTCCTCAAGGTTGCTGCTCCTTGGGTTAAATCACCGGAGTTCTTTGGAAGCTCTGAGGGGACCAGATTAAATTTGCCTCTCAGGGCTCTTAGGTGGGTCCTGGAAGCAGAGCTGAGACGGACCTGTGGTGCAGGTGACGCAGGTGGTTTGTGGAGGAGATTTCTGAGAGAGGCCTGCAGGGAGTGTGGGGGCAGTTGTGGGAGAAGCCTGTTCTCCCTCTTACTGACACCAGGGGCCGCCCTAGAGCACAAGTTATGGTTTCAGTGTTTCTTGTATTTTGAGGCAAGGTGGCTGCCCCTGAAGGGACTCCCTGGGGTAACCTCCCAGGCAGACATCTATGGGTAGGGCAGCACCTGCTAATGAAAGGCAGTTCTCCTGAGAAGGATACAGGTGTGAGCCAACACCTGCAAAGCCTGAAAGAGCCAGATGGGGGACCCCTCAGGCCAGCATTAGGGGTCTCAGGACTGCAGGACTAAAGGTTTCTTCCAGATCCTTCTCATCCTGCCAGACATTTAGCTCATTCCATCAAATCCCTCACTGCCCCCTAAGGTGCCCCTTGCATTCTTTCCTCCCCACCTTTGCCTGTGCAGTTTCTCTCACTGGAAACACCTTTCTTCTGCCTCACCTGCCATTCAGAAACCCCTTAAATGCAATCTCCTTCTCTTCCCCTGACTCTGAAGACTTCCCAGCGTCAGGGGGAAGCTGATCATCTTCTTCCTTGCTCAGTCTTTCCCATCTTGCTTGATGGCATAGTAGGTTATGCGTTAGATTACTAACAGGAATGTCAGCAGTTTGAGCCCACCCGTTGCTCTGCGGGAGAAAGACAGAGCAGGGTCCACCTGTGTGGACTTACAGCTTCAGAAATACAGTGGAGGGTCACGGAGTCAGAAATTATTTGGTGCCAGTGGGTTTGGTAGGGTTTTTATGTCTTTCATTTCCTTTAGATTTTCTCTTTACTGCACACCATAGCTTTTCCCACTCCGAGTGAGCCTCATATCTGTTCTTAATGAAGATGCTGGACCACTTGTGACAGACGCTCAGTCACGTTCCTGTCCAACGGGCCTGAGAATTCCCTCAGCGCCCTCTGCTGCTCACTCGGCTTTGTTCAGATTTATTTATTTATTTTAGTGTGTCATCTACTCAAGATTTTTAGAAAATTTCTTAAAATTATTATTATTAATTTTAATGAAAATTTACAGAGACTTTGAATTTCCATTTATTCGTTGTTGCACTATTCTCCCTGTCCACCCCTCCCCCCCAGTTCTCTCTTCTCTTTGAAAAGTAAAAGAAAAATTCTTTCATTGTTATATAATCTCTCCCACCCCCTAGCCCCCGCCCCCAGTCCACTCCACTCCACTATGCAGCCTTCGCTCTGCACTCCTTTCATGACAATAATATCTAAACATATATCCCTTTTAGACAGTTCTCTCCCTCATCTGTTTCAATGCAGTATACATTATTTATCCCATCTTTCTCAGTCTCCACTCAACCCCGATGTCAGTCCCATTTTACAACAGCGTTTGCTTACAAATTTTGTGTACATTGGGTTTCACACTATTCTTCATTCATGTTGTTTTTTCATACAATCATTCTCATGCATTGTTGTTATTGTTTTGTTGTTCTCATGCATTATGTTTTATAAAATCAATCACTTGAGAAGATCTTCACCCTGAAACCCACAGCGTCCCTTTTCAGGAGGAAGTAGCTAAGAGAATACGCCATCCCCTTTTCCTTATGAATCAGGGTGAAGTCTCTCTTAGGGAGGAGTGATAGGGAATGGCAAAGGACACACTGACAAAGGAGATTAATCAGAACTGGCTTTGACAAGCACTGTGGCAAATGGACAATTAAAACAGCCTCTGAAGGCGGGGGGGGGGAGAAAAAAGAATAACAAACTGGGGAGGAGGGTAGAGAAAATAGTGCAACAATGAATGAATGAAAACCCAAAATCTCTGTAAATGTTCATTAAAATTAATAAAATTTAATAATTAAAGAACAAAAGGAAGACCCCCCCCCAAAAAAAAGCAGATGGTTCAAATCTACCAGCTGCTTCACAGGAGACAGATGGGTCATCTCCTCCCTCACAATTTATAATCTTTTAGAACCTGTGGGAGTGGCAGCCAAGAGTTGATTCCAACTCATTGACAAAGAGTTCAGTTCTGAGCTTGAAAGCCAATGACTATAAAAGAAAGAGGTCACTTAAAACTAGGATATCGGGTGGGGTTTGGGGAAGT